TATAGATTTGGGGTGCAAATTCTTTTGCGTGTAGACATGTGGTCCTTGCACCATTTGTTGAAAAGACTGTTCTTTCCCTATTGAAAGGTCTTGCTACACTTGTCAAAAATCAGTTGACCGTGGGTTCATTTCTGGACTCTCAATTCTACTCCACTGATCTATATATCTATCCTATACCAGTACTAAACTATCTTGTTACTGTAGCTTTGTGGTATGTTTTGGAATTGGGAAGTGTACCCTCTACTCTGTTCTTTTCCAGGATTTTAAGAGTTTGTGAAGGACTGATATGAATTCTTTCAACTTTTGGTAGAATCAACCAGTAAGACCATCTACCCTGGGCTTTAACTCATGGGAATTGTTTTGAATGCTTTTTCAGTGTCTTTACTTGTTACAGGTGTTGAGACCTTTCTGTTTCTTTTGTGGGGCAGTTTTGGTAGTTTGTATCATTCTAGAATTTTCTTTTTACTTTTTTGAGTGGTTGACCTAGAGTTTGCAATGTATATTTAGAACTAGTGCAAAAATAGCACTATACTGCTTTACGGGTAGCACGAGTACCTTATAATAACAGAGTACTCCAGATTCCTCCCTCCCATCCCTTGTATCCTTGCTGTCATTCATTTCATTTCTACATAGGCATACATAAGCATTATATATATGCCCATCTATAAGCATATATATGCTTATCTTTTTTATAAGCATATACATATATGTTTATCTTAGTTACATATATAATTGAATACATTGTTTCTATTATTATTTTGAACAAACTGTTACCTGTTACATCAATTAAGAATATAAAAAATTAGAGTTTTTATTTTATCTTCACTTATTCCTTCTCTCATACTTTCTTTCCTTATGTAGATCTGGGTCTCTGACCTATAGCATTTTCCTCCTCTCTGAAGAGCCTTTTTTGAAACATGTCCTGCAAGGCAGGTCTACTGGCAACAAATTCCCTCAATTTTTGTATGCCTGAGAAAATCTTTATTTTTCCTTGAGTTTTGAAGGAAAATTTCACAGGGTACAGAATTCCAGGTTGGTGGAATTTTTTTTTTTTTCCTCAATTCTTTAAATATTTCACTGCACTCGCCTCTTCTTTGTATGGTTTCTGAGGATACGTTGGATATAATTCTTATTTTAGCTTCGCTATAGGTAAGCTGGGTTCCCCCCACCCCCTCGGCTTCTTTCAGGGTTTTTTCTTTATCTTTGCTTTATCTGGACTTTGAATATGACATGCCTAGGTGGGTTTGTCTTTTGCATTTATCCTGCTGGTTATCTCTGAGCTTCCTGGATCTCTCATTTGGTGTTTGACATTAATTTGGAAAAATTCTCAGTCATTGTTGTTTCAAGTATCTCTTTTTTCCCGTTCTCCATTTCCTCTCCTTCTGGTATTCTCATTAAACATGTGTTATCCCACAATTCGTAGGTATTCTGTTCCATTTTTTAAGTCTTTTTTTTTTTTTTTCTGTTTGCTTTTCAGTTTCAGAATCTTCTGTCGACATATCCACAAGCTCAGAGATTCTTTTTTTCAGTGGTCCAGTGTACCAATGAGCCCATCAAAGGCATTCTTCATTTCTATTATAGTGTTTTGGATCGCTACCACTTCATATTCATTCTAAGTATTTCTATCTTTCTGCTTACAATACCCGTCTGTTCTTGTATGTCGTCTACTTTCATTAGAGCTCTTAGCGTATTACTCATAGTCATATTAAAGTCCTAGTCTGATAATTCCAACATTCCTGCCATACCTGACTATGGTTCCAGTGTTTTCTCTGTCTCTTCAAACTGTGTTTTTTGCCTTTTAGTATGCCTTATAACTTTTTGTTGGAAGCCAAACATGACATACTGGGTAAAAGGAACTGCAGTAAGTAGGCCTTTAGTAATACGGTGGTGGGGGCTGGGGAGGGATTCTGAAGTCCAACGATTAGGGATGCAGTTAAAGCAGACAAATATAGCTGTAACATGTCCATATCGAAAAAGAAGAAAGAGGACTTCCAGTTTCTGGCCCAGCATTTAAGCGGCGTGGCAGTCATTACTCCATCCTAACAATAAGTAGATAGCTGACCTAACTGGGAAAAAAAAAGACCTATGGTCTTTTGGTGAGTTTATGTCTCTCGACTGTGAACTTCACCAGTGCTTCTCAGGTTGTTTTCCTCCTTTAGGGGGGACAGGAAGGCTAGAGGGAGCTGAGGTAGGGTATTTCCCTTCCCCTAGCTAGGTTAGACTCTGGTAAAAACCTGATAGGTTAAGCTCTGGTAAAATAGTTTCTCTCTTGAGGGCAGACCTTGTTAGGATGGACAGAATGCTCTGGTGTATTTCAAAATGGCTACCTTTCCTTTCCCGCTTCTGAAGCAGGAGGGAGATTTTCCTCCTCTCTTCGTTGTGACAGCCTGGTAGAGCTGCCGGAGGGACCACAAAAGGTGGGTGTGCTGCCCTGTGACTGGGCCCCCTGGGGGTCTGAACTCTCAGACTTGTCCACACTGCGCCCCCAGCAATTCAGTTACAGCTCGGGTTTTCCTGCCCCGCTCCTGATTTCCGTGGAGAACTCTGCTCGTGGGTTTCTGCTCCAGCAAGTTTTGATTTTCTGCATCTGCCTGTGTGTCTCTCCACTTTTGGGGGTAGCATTTTCCCCCATGGCCTCAATTCCCTGACAGATAGAAGGAAAGTTAGGCGGGTTGGTTTTTTTTCCCAGTTAGTTCAGCTATCAACTTATTGTTAGGATGGAGTAATGACTGCCACGTTGCTTAAATGCTGGGCCAGAAACCAGAAGTCCTCTTTCTTCTTTTTCGATATGGACATTTTACAGCTATTTATTTGTCTGCTTTAACTGCATCCCAGGGGTTTTTTTCATTTTTTAATTTTTTTAAAGATTTTATTTATTTGTCAGAAAGAGAAAGAGCGCATAAGCAGGGGGAGTGGCAGGCAGAGGGAGAAGCAGGCTCCCCGCTGAGCAGGGAGCCCGACGCGGGGCTCGATCCCAGGACCCTGGGATCATGACCTGAGCCGAAGACAGACGCTTACCCGACTGAGCCACCCAGGCGCCCCCCGTGAGTTTTTTATGCTGTGTTTTCTTTTTTGTTCATCTCCAGATAGTTGCCCATTTCCTTGGTGGTGCTTCAGCTTTCTATGGTGGGGGGGGGATCATTCCTATCCCGTCACTGGATTAATTTCAGAGAGCATTAGTGCCTCCAGGCCCCGGGGTTTATTGACACTTAGGCCTTTTGGGAGTAGTTTCTGAGGAATAGAGGAACTGAAAGGAGACTTGAGTGGCTAGGGAGGAGGGGGTATGGCTTAAGCCCTCGCTTTTGAAGCCACGCTGTGGCCTGTGGCCTCTCAACCAGGGTTTCTCGCCTGCGGCGATATTGTCCTTCAAGTGGTGTTCGGTTGCCGTCCCGGTGGGGGGGGTGGGGGGGCGTGCAGCTGACATCTAGTGGGTAGAGGCCAGGGACGCCGCTCAACGTCCCATAATGCCCAGGGCGGCCCCTCACAGCCAAGGATTGTCTGGTGTCAGTAGCTTTTTTAAGCCCGTCCATTGGCAGGACTGTTTCCCGCTCCTGCAGCACCTACCTGTACAGCGTCTCACTGCCTCTTCACAATGGTCCTGAGGTAGGTGAAATGTCACAATCTGAGGTGAGGCAAGTGAAGCCTTAAAACTGTAGCCACCTGTCCCTCAGTAGCAGAGCCTGGACGACCACCTGCCAGTCTGGTAGTTTCCCCGCAAAGCCCACAGTGACCTGGGCCTCCGCTCGCTTTGTCCACTCCACCTTTCAAAACCGGATCGCCATGCATTGCCTTGTGAGTCTGGGTCTGGAACCCTGGATGCCTGCAGGGCTCCTTGCAGCTAAGATTGCTTCACATTGTCCTGTGATCCTCTGTTTACCGGCGCCCCCCCTGCAAACAGAGTGGAAAGGCCCTGTACGCAGCGTGGTGCTGGGCGCGGGGTGGGCCTTCAGTACATTTCTTTTCTTTCTTTCTTTTTTTAAAGATTTTATTTATTTATTTGACAGAGAGAGACACAGCGAGAGAGGGAACACAAGCAGAGGGAGTGGGAGAGGGAGAAGCAGGCTTCCCGCGGAGCAGGGAGCCCGATGCGGGGCTCGATCCCAGGACCCTGGGATCATGACCTGAGCCGAAGGCAGACGCTTAACGACTGAGCCACCCAGGCGCCCCCCTTCAGTACATTTCTGTTGAAGGAATGAGGAGCTAGGAGAGACAACATACCGAAATGTTAGCTTGGCGAGCTCTAGGAGCTTGAAATGTAGGTTGTAGCTACTTGCAGAAGAGGCTGGGGAAAGGGGCAGGCCCCTAGGACGGGTGGGGCAAGAGACCTTGCGTTCTGTACGTTGGTTGTTTTGCCTGGAGGATTTTAATTTGGTTATTCTTCATAATGCTTTATTCCCCTTGTTAAATTCCTCCCACTTCAGCTTCCTCTTCTCTTTGAACTGTTCATACTAGCACTTTTTGCCTTTCTTAAAAGACCAGTTCTAACTCTACTTAACAATACCCTGTGGCCTCAGGTATTGTCCCCTAAAGGTCTTATCGAAACATAAAGAAGAATCTTTTGTGGTATTTGACCTCCGTTATCGTGAAATTATCCTGACATTGACTCCGTATGTCTTAAGGTAGCTGGTCTCAATGTTCTCATCCATAAAATGGGCATATGATCCTTTGTTAGCTAACTGAGACCTTTCCCGAGGATAAATGATTTAAAGCCCATGAAAGCATTCTGAACAGCGCTGTGTAAATAAATGGCCAGGTCCTTCCGGTTATGAGTAACTGTGAAAAACTGTGTTCATATGAATTATGCAATATAACCAGTGGTCGTGCAATTATTAAAGTAGTTTGCTAGAATGAAACAAAGGGCAGTCAGATTTTGCGCTTCTTACTTTTACTACAGTGCTAGCCTAATAATTTGGTTCAAAGATCTAAAGCTCTGTCTTACCTTGGACTGCCCTGACAAATACAAGATCTTCACCTTGACCTTGACCTTTGTTTCTCTATAGGTGTTACAGAACATTCTGGACACTGAAAAGGATTATGCTAAAGAACTTCAGTCTCTACTTGTCACTTACTTAAGACCCCTGCAGTCCAATAACAAGTAAGATTTACATTTTAAACCCCTTGCTAAATAAAGCAAGATAATGTCAGTATCCAGAGTCATTGCTCTTATGTCACTGAATAATTGATTTTGCCCTTTAGAAGAATTTCCATAGAGCACAGGTTGCCAAGAACATGGTCAAGGCAGCGGAAATTACACAAGATGTTGCTGCTGGAGAGCTTGGCTTTCTGTCTCTTTTAGCTGCGGAAGGAATGAGCACATCTGCATCTCTGTCTGCCACAATTGTTATCTTGTACATTTTAAAAGCGATACATGCAGTTTTATCTTGCACAAACAGGACCTGCTGGTGTTTTTATGCAGAAAACCTGTAAACTGGAAAGTTTCATGCTCCCCCTGACCTTGGCTTGCTGGGGCAGAAACTCTTTCCTACGGTCTGAGAGTGGAAAGAGTGTGGCATTTTGTGAATGTTTGTGAGGGCACCATCGAGCTCGTATTTCACCCAGGCCAAAGAGAGTGATAGAGCTGTTCAAATGTCTTGTTTTGTTTTAAATAAAATACTCAAACCTTATTCTGGTCTTAGAAGTGGCTGAGGTTTGAATTGAAAACTTTGTTTTCACAGAAGAAAAATATTGACCTATTTTTATTTTAATTGATTATACTTTACTGGAGATTATAATCTATAAGTCAAATAGAAAATTGAGCCATGGGCCCACATACTGGAAGACAAAAGCCTCCTCTTTCCCCTCAGTAAGAGTTTACTTTTGCTGGACAGCTGTCTCAACTACTGGACTTCAGGCTTAAGTTTAACATATTTTGCGATCCCCCCCCCTTTTTTTTTTTCCAAATCATGTTTGCTAAGGCATAAGGTCTTGCTAAATTTCCCAGTTGGTTATTTTCCATGGCACTGTGGGAATCTCACTTCAGTATGAAAGGATTTTGTATTCCTGTGTTTTGTAAGAGTTGAAATGCGATCAACAACAAAGTGTCTTTTGTTATGATTATGTAAAACATGAAGTGAATCCTGTGAATCATACTTCTTAGAGCTGAATGGAAGGAACCTCAGTGAATCACTGGGTCTAGTGCCCTGGAAGAAATGACTGTCCCCATTGAACAAATAAGAAAACTGAAGTCCAGAGAGGCTTACTGCTATACCCATCACACAGCCAGTAAGCTGCCAGACTCGACCCACCGCGCCTCCGGCCGCTGACTGAAATGTGCCTTCCATTTTGTGGGGGTGACAGGCAGAGGCAGGAAACCGAGGTGGTGACCCTGGGAGGGGAGATGGTAAGATTTCAAATGAAGGAGGCGAGGAGCCTGACTCAGAACTTCCCTGTTGCCATATAAATTCAGAATGCAGTCAGGGTCAGTTTCCACCGGCTGTCTTGTGGACCCCGGAGCGACTGGAGCAAACCAGACTGTTTACTGTCTGATCCTGAGGGGGCCAAGAAAGTCCCTGATCAGGTTCAAGTTGGCCCCCCAGTCAGCTTCTTGGGGCCATGACGGAGGAAAGTCAGGGAAACTGGCCGGCTGAAGGTTTCGCTTTTGACACCCATGGCTAGGGGTTTTCCAGCTTGTGGTTCAGAAGGGCATGATGGCAGAGGAACTGGGCGCTTCTGATGCTCGAGGGGTTACTGGTATCGTTTGTGTGGGGCTTCCTTTGCTTTGTCAGCAAAAATCACTCTCTTGGAAACACTCCCCTCGTATTATGATGTGAAGAAAGAACACGTGGCCGACACTGGCCTTTTAAGTCTTCGGAAAAGTCTTCTCCCAAAAAGTGTTTAGGAGCATGGCCTCTGGAGCTAGAATGTGGTGGTTTAAATCCTGGCTTCACCCTTCACTGGCTTTGTGACATTGGGTGATTGGCTTAACCTCTCTGTGCCTGGGTCTCCTTACGTGTAAGATGGAAACAAGAGCACCTACCTCGTGAACTTGTTGTCAGGTTAAAATATAAAATGTAAAAAAAATAAAAATAGAATAATATAAAATATAAAAAAATAAAAATACTTATGAGACACCTGCAGAGGTGTTAAGTGCTTGTGTGAGTAGTGTTGGTGCATGTTATCACCTACCATTTGGTAGGGGAAGAATGGAGAAAATTCATAGCACGGAGGCTCTGGATAAAATTGTTCAGTTTGCCTTTATTTGCTCCATTCCATTCCACAAACAAACAAATCAGTACTGTTTTCTTCTCCTCTACTTCCTCTGATAAAGATTTCCCTTTGTTGATTTATGAGCATTTTAAATCGAAAGAAACTGGATTTTGTGGTTTTTCCCTGTGCAGTCTATGAGCATTTATAATATCTTTCAGTTACTCTCCCAGCTCCTCCAGAATACTCAAACTTGTTTGCATTTATCCCCAGCCATGATGTATTTTGCCTATTGAGATACTTAGCTATTACGCACTTGTTATCCGTTCACTCATCGCATTGTAAAACACGTAAATGTCTTTGGTAAACACTTGTTTGCTTTAGGATCATTATTCTTATTGTAGAAAAAGGAAATCAAGGAAAGACGCTTTTAAATGTTGTTTAAGACCACAGAGCTGGTGTAAGTTAAAAAGCGAAAGTTAAAATCTAGGGATTGCTTCCCTCATCCCATTTGCCAATTTTTTTAGCAAATTATCAGCTCACTAGACTAGAGATGGATAACGGGAATCATCCTGAAGTTCTATCCACTGAAACTGTGTATGTTTTTTTGGGTTTTTTTCAGTCTGAGTACTGTGGAATTTACATCTTTACTGGGGAACTTCGAGGAAGTATGCTCATTTCAACAGACGCTCTGCCAAGCCTTGGAAGAATGTTCCAAGTAAGTGTTGTATGTTGCCTTTAGAATAGCTAGCAACACCATTTCTTTGGTGTGTTTTCTTTTCCTGCTAGCTGTTGTCTTAGATAGGGACACTTCGTATTTACTCATTTGTTACAATGTTGATAAATTGTCCCAGTACAGAGAAAATGCGCTAGGGAGAGCCAAACCCCTGGTTGTATATCAGGGCTCTACATGCAGTAAATTATTTCTGACTTTATTTAAAGATTGCATCGGTTTACTGCTCCTGGTCAGTATGAGAGACAGATAAGGTCTCCATTGACCAGGGACGTTGCCTTTGATATTGATTCGATATTTTCTTTTGTACATTGCAAATTACTTGGAAAAGTTAGTCAGGTGATTCATTCAGTTGTATAAGCTGCTTTTTCTCTTTAAATCACGCCTGGTATCTTGTCTATTATATTAACAGTTGAAATACACAAAAAGTGGGGAAAGGAAAGTATATCTTTATGTGAACCACAATACGTATTGGAAGGCTAGCTTGATGGTTGTTGAGGTGTTCAGCTTCATACTGCAGAATGGATTGTAATGATCTTCAGGCAATATAATTCTATAGCAAGATTAATTTTCCAAGCACTGTATCTCAGAGAAGTTGGCAACTTTCATCATCTACAGGGAAATCGGGGTGATTGCCTGTTTCTTGAGCTTTCTGGGACACAGGTGGTCATCCAGGAAGGAAGATGGTAAGAGCCCACACCAGAGGCCTGAGGGGCTGTCCTCAATGCTGATAGGGATCCAGCTTATTGTCGTGGAAAGATAAGTCACTAAGTGAGAAGAACCGATTACAAACTAGGTTTGTAATCTTTATTTTCCATTTTATAGAAAAACATGTAGAAGGAAGACCAAGGAATATGCCAAAATTGTTCTAATAGCTGTCTCTGAATGGTGGAATACTGAGTAATTTTTTTTTCTTTCTTGCACTTTTCTGATTGGTCTACAAATGAAAACGGGTGGCTTGTAACTTAAAAAAATTAAAGTCTTGGGCGCCTGGGTGGCTCAGATGGTTAAGCGTCTGCCTTCGGCTCAGGTCATGATCTCAGGGTCCTGGGATCGAGCCCCGCATCGGGCTCCCTGCTCCTTGGGAGCCTGTTTCTCCCTCTGCCTTTCTCTCTCGCTCTGTCTCTCCTGAATAAAAAAAAAAAAAAATCTTTAAAAAAAAAAAAATGAAAGTCTTGAGGCCATCCTGCCTAGCAGCCACCAAGCCCCTAAGACTACATAATATTCCTTTCTGATGTGTCAGTTTGGGATTTGATTACTTTTGTCTGTACTTGAACTTCATATAAATTAGCCAAGAGTATTTTTGTGTGTGCCCGGCTAAAATTTTGAATATTGTAATTTGAACAAATATCTTTAAAAAACAACCCTACCTGGTCATTTCAAGTACGTATCTGGCCCCTATATATGGGCGCTATGTTTGGCGGCTCGAGTTTGAAGTGATGGTCAATTACCCCATTAAAAAAATAATAATACTAATAAAGTGGCAGTCAAGAACTTGCATTCCATGGCAAAAGTGCTTATAATCTAGTTTCTCTTTTCACTTTGGCAAAAGAATTCAAAAGGTTTGCGTGTCGCCAGATTTGATTGGAATCCTCTTCCTTTATCCCCCTGTTTCTTTCTTATTTTACATTCTGTGTTTCATCTTGTCTTACCTCCAGGTTTCCGGAAAATCAACACAAAGTAGGAGGTTGCCTACTGAACCTCATGCCTCATTTTAAATCTATGTACCTGGCTTACTGTGCAAATCATCCTTCAGCTGTCAATGTGCTCACACAACACAGGTAAGTTGTACCATTTCCCCAGATAGGCTGTTCCACAGTGAGATCCTTTCCGAGGACCGCTTCATTTGGAAACCCAAGGTCTCCAGTTGAACTTTTGATCATCCCCCTTCATCACTGCAGGAATTAATTCGTTGTTCCACGGATTGCTTGTCTGTCAGTGCAATGGATAATTTACTGAGCATCTACTGTGGGCAGGGTCCTGTACTAGCTGATGGGGGTTACAGTAGTCAACAAGGAAGAGGAAGTCCCTCCCCTCCTGGAACATAGACTCTCAAGAGAAATACGGACATGAACTTAAACGTCATAAACATGTGGTATTACAAAAGGGTAAATTAAAAAGATGCCATGAGACTTTGCAACGTGGTATCAGCTTCGTGTGGGGTGAGGGTAGCATCAGGGAAGGCTTTCCTGAAGCCGAACCCTATTTAGATCCAGTGTTTTCGCCTTCCCCTGTCCCGGCGAATGGTGTATCTGAGTTACTGGCAGATAGCTCGAGTGCCTGGCTTCGTCTCTTTTTTTCACTTTCCCTTTGGCGGGTGGGGGAAATTTCCAACAGCGCTATGGCTCAGAGGCAGATACTCATTAACATGGAAAGGTGGAAGGAAACTAGCAGGGTGAACTATTGGGCAAGCACTTTAAGCAGTGGGCTGTGATAATATTTGTACGTGAGTATACATTGTTTCCAATTCATGGGGAACAACAAAACAGTATCTCCTTTAAGAGTCCTTGCAAGGGACCCAGATAAGTTCATATCTCTCCTGCCCTTCCTTACCGCCTGACTCCCCATCCCTGACGCATTCACAGATGCCTTCATCTGGGCCAGAACCCTGGATGATAGGCTTAAAGATGCAGTTTGAACTTTGAAATCATGTGCTAGCGATCTGGCAGGGGCAGGGGGGCTGTCTCTCACCACACAGAGTCTGTTAGGACGTAACCTGGAGACGAGACTCAGAATGGATATGGATTCTGGAGGCTGCTCACGACCGGAAAGAATATTCTTTTCTTAATCTGGCTCAGACCTGAACCCCCAGGGCCAGACTGGAACACCAGTTGACACAAACCCTCAGAAGTGATGAAAATTTTGGTTTTGTCCTGGTTTGTTAGGAGCTTTATTGACTTGGGTGCCTGGGTGGCTCAGTCGGTTAAGCATCTGCCTTTGGCTCGGGTCATGATGCCAGGGTCCTGGGATCGAGTCCCTCGGCCGGAAGTGTGCTTCTCCCTCTCCCTCTCCCCCTGCTGGTGCTTTCTCACTCTCTCTCTCAAATAAATAAATAAATAAATAAATAAA